CATCATGTATGATCACCTGAAACAACCGGGCAGGTATAATCCCTGCCATGGAGAGTGTGTGGTTAACGTGGCGGGAGACGTGGACCTCGCTGTCGCCTTCGTTATCCCCATCGCTATCATCACAGGTCTGTATGTGAGAGTGTTTGCAGTGGCGGTGTCTCAGGCTCGTGCCATGCGCTCTCACACTGCCGCCGTCACAGTCGGGTACTCGATGACTCTGACGGTGAGGCGGTCTGAGCTGAAGGCGGCCCGGACTCTGGGGGTTCTGGTCGCTGTGTTTCTGATCTGTTACTCTCCGTACTACTGTCTGTCTATGTCGGGTGGAAACATCCTGGTGGGTTCCCCCACTGAGGCATTCATAAGCTTTGTGATGTACTTTAACTCCTGTCTGAACCCGCTCCTCTACGCCCTGTTCTACCCCTGGTTCAGAAAAGCTGTGAGACTCATTGTCACTCTTCAGATCCTGCAGCCTGGATCCTGTGAGGCCAGCGTCCTGTAGAGACTCTGATGAACCTTCTGGGATTGGTACTGTAACGGTACTCTTATTGATTATTTTTGTTATGTTGTAAGGAAAACGAATTAAGAACAGAATTAACATAGTATTATTTGATCATATTAACATTCTTAATAGCAACTTCAACAGAATTGTTATCACATCACTGTTATAGACTGATTTTGTAATGATGGAAATCTTTCTCTGAGTGATCTGAACCTGAAACTGAATTTCTGAACAGTTCAGATGATGACTCTAAGAACACACCCAGAACATCTCACATTCCACTTTTCATCATTAACCATCATCATTAAGCTTATAATGAAAATACATACTAATTCTAAAAACCCTTTCTCTGCCACTGTCACTTACACATCAAGTTACTTTACTGAGCCATACTAGATTTTTATGTTTATATATACATATAAATCTATATATAGATACATATATATCTATATATATGTATAAACACACAGGGACATGTGCATATATGTGTGTATATGTCGATATAAATAGAGCCTAAAACTGTAGTTAGACACTAATAATGAATAATAATAACCATCATTAGCTAACAGCTGCTGCGTTGGTCACAAAAAATAATGATAATGATTATAATAATAATAATGATAATGATAAGTTTGATTTATAATACAGCACCTTTCACAACACAGTCACTAAGATCAAATTGAAGACAAACAATAAAATAGATGATTAAAATAAATGTAAAAACAGTTGAAAGATTTGTGGAGGAGATAGAGAAAAGTGTGAATTAAATGTAAAGGGATGGATAAGATAAGAAACAAGAGAATGACTTAATGATAATAGATTTAAGAAGTTGGATTCAGACCCATGGTGTCATCTCTATTTAACCTGTCTGTTGTGGTCATTAATGTGTAAGTAGTGGTTTGATTTTCATGTCTTCATTTGGTTCCTCTTTATGTGCTGATATATTTACACAGTGTCAGTCAGAGAGAGAGAGAGAGAACGAGAGAGAGAGTTTGCCTATGGAAAGCCGGTGTCTCTCTGTCACTCAGCTCTGTGATATTTTTACCTCCTCTGTCAGCTGTGTTTCCTCTCAGTCCTCAGAGAGTCTGCAGTCAGAGCAGCAGCAGCAGCAGCAGGAGGGAGACGTGGCTCAGGTACAGTCTCTGGTCTCTGGTCTCTGGTCTCTGGTCTCTAGTCTCTCTGGTCTCTGGTCTCTGGTCTCTCTGGTCTCTAGTCTCTCTGGTCCCTGGTCTCTGGTCTCTAGTCTCTCTGGTCTCTGGTCTCTCTGGGCTCTGGTCTCTCTGGTCTCTCTGGTCTCTCTGGTCTCTCTGGTCTCTCTGGTCTCTCTGGTCTCTCTGGTCTCTCTGGTCTCTCTGGTCTCTCTGGTCTCTCTGGTCTCTCTGGTCTCTCTGGTCTCTCTGGTCTCTCTGGTCTCTCTGGTCTCTCTGGTCTCTCTGGTCTCTCTGGTCTCTCTGGTCTCTCTGGTCTCTCTGGTCTCTCTGGTCTCTCTGGTCTCTCTGGTCTCTCTGGTCTCTCTGGTCTCTCTGGTCTCTCTGGTCTCTCTGGTCTCTCTGGTCTCTCTGGTCTCTCTGGTCTCTCTGGTCTCTCTGGTCTCTCTGGTCTCTCTGGTCTCTCTGGTCTCTCTGGTCTCTCTGGTCTCTCTGGTCTCTCTGGTCTCTCTGGTCTCTCTGGTCTCTCTGGTCTCTCTGGTCTCTCTGGTCTCTCTGGTCTCTCTGGTCTCTCTGGTCTCTCTGGTCTCTCTGGTCTCTCTGGTCTCTCTGGTCTCTCTGGTCTCTCTGGTCTCTCTGGTCTCTCTGGTCTCTCTGGTCTCTCTGGTCTCTCTGGTCTCTCTGGTCTCTCTGGTCTCTCTGGTCTCTCTGGTCTCTCTGGTCTCTGGTCTCTGGTCTTTGGTCTCTGGTCTTTGGTGTCTCTGGTCTCTCGTCTTTGGTCTCTGGTGTCTCTGGTCTCTGGTCTTTGGTGTCTCTGGTCTTTGGTGTTTGGTCTCTGGTCTCTGGTCTTTGGTCTCTGGTCTCTGATCTCTGGTCTTTGGTCTTTGGTCTTTGGTCTCTGGTCTCTGGTCTTTGGTGTCTCTGGTCTTTGGTCTTTGGTGTCTCTGGTCTTTGGTATTTGGTCTCTGGTCTTTGGTGTCTCTGGTCTCTGGTCTCTGGTCTTTGGTCTTCGGTGTCTCTGGTCTTTGGTCTTTGGTGTCTCTGGTCTTTGGTCTTTGGTCTCTGGTCTCTGGTCTTTGGTGTCTCTGGTCTCTGGTCTCTGGTCTTTGGTGTCTCTGGTCTCTGGTCTTTGGTCTTTGGTCTCTGGTCTCTGATCTCTGGTCTTTGGTCTTTGGTCTTTGGTGTCTCTGGTCTTTGGTCTCTGGTCTGTGGTCTCTGGTCTCTGGTTTCTGATCTTTGGTGTCTCTGGTCTTTGGTCTTTGGTCTCTGGTCTCTGGTCTCTGATCTCTGGTCTTTGGTCTCTGGTCTTTGGTGTCTCTGGTGTTTGGTGTTTGGTCTTTGGTCTCTGGTCTCTGGTCTTTGGTGTCTCTGGTGTTTGGTCTTTGGTCTTTGGTCTTTGGTCTCTGGTCTCTGGTCTCTGGTCTCTGGTCTTTGGTGTCTCTGGTCTCTGGTCTTTGGTCTTTGGTCTCTGGTCTCTGGTCTCTGGTCTTTGGTCTGTGGTCTGTGGTCTCTCTGGTCTCTGGTCTCTGGTCTTTGGTGTCTCTGGTCTCTGGTCTCTGATCTCTGGTCTTTGGTCTGTGGTCTGTGGTCTCTCTGGCCTCTGGTCTTTGGTCTCTGGTCTCTGGTCTCTGATCTCTGGTCTTTGGTCTGCGGTCTGTGGTCTCTGGTCTCTGGTCTTTGGTGTCTTTGGTCTCTGGCCTCTGGTCTTTGGTCTCTGGTCTCTGATCTCTGGTCTCTGGTCTCTGGTCTGTGGTCTCTCTGGTCTCTGGTCTCTGGTCTCTGGTCTTTGGTCTTTGGTCTCTGGTCTCTGGTCTCTGGTCTTTGGTGTCTCTGGTCTCTGGTCTCTGGTCTCTGATCTCTGGTCTTTGGTCTGTGGTCTGTGGTCTCTCTGGTCTCTGGTCTTTACTGTGTCACTGACTCTGAGGTTTCTCTCTGTGATCAATCCTTATTTAACTTTTATTACACTTTTCATCACTGAAATAAGAAACTTATTAACCCATTCATCATTTATGAGCTGCAATAACGTGTAATAACTGGTTTATAACAGACTGTAATTCAGCTGTATCAGTGTGTTTATTAACAGCTCTAACTCCTGTGACACTGATAATGTTTAATCTTTTTATATGTTTTTAATATGCAGAATAAATTCTGAACAGTAATAAACACTTGTAACATATAATAACATTAATAATATGATAATAAACCAGTTATTACATGGTTACACAGAGTATTGATGCTTAATAAAATGTTAGTGTAAATCCTGTTAACATGTTAAAGTGCAGCAGAAGAAAGTTGCACAGAAATGATTTATATACCATTATATTTTTGTGTGATATACATGATTAATGAGAATAAATGAATGTTAAACAAGTAAACTGGTTTTAATGTGTTGTCTGCTTAATTATCATTTCAGTTTTGTTATAATGTTCACTTCATCATTGGTTTGCTTTATTCAGTCACTTGACATAATATTAATTTTAATTAATTATTCATAATTTGTTTATTTATTTTGACTTCCATCATTTCTCATCTCATCTACTCTGACTTTCATCTGTTCTTCTGATGTTGAATGTTCATCAGGGATTTCATTTTCATTATTCATGTCGACATTTTAAACCATTTCATTAAAGTGTAACGTTACAGAAAAGTATCAATCACGTACTAACCTTTAATGCAGTTTTTGACTCATCAGATTGTGAATATAATCATTTACCTCCTGAAAAAATCCAATCCATTTATCAATAAGTCAAAGAGCTTTTATTTATGGATTATTCACAAATAGAAATAAACACACCGACCAGAGAGAACCAACATGATTACAAATGATTAATCAAACCTTTAGTTTTAATTTATAGAGCCTTGTAAAGTCTTGTTCCTGTGTGTGATTCTGATACCTGTTAGAGAACCACAGTCAGTGTCGTCTGGAAGCCAAAGCAGCTGCTGCTTCTTCATTTGTTCAAATAAACAATCTGCAGCTTCTGTTCAGATTCAAATGTGAAGATTATTGAATAAAATAATAACTGGTTATATCTAACCCTAACCTGGATGAAAGGGTCAGAAATCACTGAATACATAGAAGCTTTGTTCTGTGTTCTGCAGGAGATTCAGTGTTTAAAGAAGAGGAAACTCCAGCAGCCGATATACAGCTGGAGGACAGATCCACACCAACACTGTCCACCAACGTTGGATCACACGATGAAAACAAAGGGATATAAAGAAGAATAAGGCGGGAAACTGAAGGAAGAGTGGCTGAATAAAGAAAACAGAACTGGAGCTTTGAGAAAACTTCACTGTAGAAACACAGACATTTTTCATTTCCCAGCTTCCAACAGGATCTTAGTTCAGTCTCCTTCATGACGACTGGAGAGACTGAGGAGACATGTGGAGGACAAGAGAAGGCAGGAGGGATGATGGGAGGACAAGGAGGAGGAGGAGGGAACATGACGCTTGCTCCGTCTTTCACCACCCTCAGCACTATCGCCATCCAGGCCGGACAATCACAGATTGTTGTCTCTGTCCTCAGGGTATGTGGTTAACAACAAGTCCTCCATCTTTGCTGACACAGCACATTAACTCACTGAAACCCAGTGGATCCAGACCAGAACAACCCAGCTCATGACTGAGCTCCAGTGTTTGTAACATTAGATCATATATGACATTTTATATCGGTCATGAAATGACAAGCTAACACTGTAAATGAAAGGGCGAGCTATCAGCTAGCTAACATTAGTTAGCTAAACTGTAACTTAAGGCTAAAGTTAGAAACTAGCTAACATTAGTGTTCATCTGTAGATACTTGACACAATCTAATTCAGAAGCTCTGAAGGTAAGAAAGTAAAGTGTATAGCTATATAGTTAGCTACTGCTACTTAAATTTACCTACAGTGTCTGTGTGATACACAGGAGCAGAGACTTCAGGATGCATTCAGCCTCCTCCATTCAGCTTCATGTTATAACTGTGGGCAGATGTGATCAGCTACAATAACTTATTGTCATTAACAATGATAAGGCTAAAGTTAGGAACTAGCAATAATTAGTTAGCTAATCTGTAGCTTAAGGCTAAAGTTTGGAACTAGCTAACATTAGTTAGCTAAACTGTGACTTAAGACTTAAGTTAGAAACTAGCTGTAGGTAGCTTACATTTACCTACAGTAAAGGAGCAGAGGCTTCAGGATGCGTACAACCTTTGCGTTCAACTATGTTGTCAACAGGCTGTTATTCAGAAATTTTGAATTCTTGTCCTTCATAGTGAATCTAGATTTCCCCCTGTTTTTAGAACAAGTCAGCTGGTAGAGATCAAATCACAAGAGTCACATTTTAAAAATAAATCTTGAGCAGATTCCATATTTATCTGTTTATAAACCCAGTCATTCTGTCCACTGATTTTCTCGACAGACACTGTGACTAGTTCTTCTAAACCAAAGTGAAACACTGATGTAGAGGAGTATATCTCATTTCTATCTAATAGCTCATTTTGAACATTCAGGTTTATGTTAGCTGTTAAAATTAGATTCAGCTGATGAGTGTTAGTATAGAGATCCTCAGTTTTAGTTACATGAACTATTGTGAGCTGTGTCGTTAAATAGCTTTGTTTTTGTTAGCAACTGTTAGCTAGGTTTTGGACAGTTATTAGTCTTGATGTAAGTGAGCTAACTTCATTGTAGTGTTAGACTGTTAGATTCAAATGAAATGAGCCATTAAACTCTTTCTTTTTCAACCTTTCACAACATTAGCCTGATTTTCAGACTGTTAGCTTTGACTTTAGCTTCAGTGTCAATGTTAGCTCAGTGTAAGTTTTTTATTAGTTTTATGGGTATTTATTTAGCTTGTAGCCTGTTAGCTTTGACTTGAGCTGGTTATAGTTATAGAGCCTCGTCAGTCAGTCACTGTTCTGTCCATGTGCTGTTTCCTGTTATAGCACAGACTATTTACTGATGCTGCTGTTGTCAGTGTGTGTGTGTGTGTGTGTGTGTGTGCGCGCGTGCGTGCGTGCGTGCGTGTGTGTGTAAAGGGGAATGTGTATTTAAATATGTTCATGTGTGCATGTATGTGGGATAATAGTTTTTGGAGCTGTTGACAGTGTTTTTAAAGTGTGTGTGTGTGTGCGTTCGTGCTTGCGTGTGTGTGTGTGTGTGCGCATGCGCGCGTGCCTTGACACGTGTCATGTTGAGTCCTTTTTAGCCAACATACCAGAGATACTGTATCATCCTGAGGAATGCTGCAACAGACACACACACACACACACACACACACACACACACACACAGAAACACGTGTGTGCAGAGATACATGCAGTCCATGTTGACCTCCAGCGTCGCCATGTCGCTGTGTGGGGAACAAAAACAAACCAGAACACAGTGAGACAGTATTAACACTTTAACAGACTCTAACCATCTTCATCACATGGATCATTATCTATTATTACCTCATCAATTAAACTAAAACAACAACTTATCGTGTTATAACCAGAAGGTCGATGTAGAAAGATACAGTACCTGTTGTTACATGTTATAACAAGGTTCATTGTTCATCAGTCATCAAATTGAGACAGTCACGTGTCAGTACTGCAGGACAGAACAGGCTGTTTTTTTATCTCGACTCACGTGTATTTGTGTGTTTGTGTGTTTGTGTTTTTGTGTTCAGAGTGGGTCTCTGGTCCACCTCCAGCTGGTCCAGGTCCATCCGGGTCTCTGTGAGATCGGATCAAACCAGGAGGAAAACCAGAGACTGATCCAGGAGCAGCAGCAGCTGCTGGAGAAACTCAAGGTACAGACACGAAAACATGTACAATCAATTACAGGTTTTGATGGTTTTGATTATTTATACTTGTTAGCACACTGCTATACTCTGTATGCTAATGCTAATGCATGTTAGCTGACTGCTATTTGATAACTAGATACCAATCAGGTAATGTTAATAAATTAGCTTCACATTAGCAGAGCTTTTGAGTATGAAGTTATGTGCTAATCCTGCGTCTTCTTTGTCATCCCAGCGTCATGAGAGCGAGGTGCTGGCAGTGGTGGAAAATGGCCAACAGACAGAGCAGAGGAGGAAGAGGAGGGAAGAACGGATGACGGAACAGAAGTGGAAGAAGAAAAAGGAGGAAGAGGAGGAAGTGTACAAGGCCATGGGGGTGTCTCTGAGCGAGGGATGGTCGCTGCTCCTCCGCCTGCTCCAAAGACGACAGGAAGTCCTGATGTTGGCATCAGACTTTTACCGCCGAGCTCTGGAGGTAAGATGCTTCACCATGACAACAAGGAAGTGATGCCATTTTGAATTCTACTCTATAAGAACTACGTCTCTATAGCAGGTCTGACGTCACCTCATGTCTGTGTATTAAAGCTGAAATGTGAGGAGACTGAATGGAGACTGTGTGTTGTTGTTTGGAACTGAAGCTCAGTGTCATGTGACACTTGCAGGAATACATGTTGAGCTATTGTCAGGCTGTGGTGACCTCTGACCCCTGACCTCCTGTTTGTTTCAGCTCTCACGTTCCTCAGGCGGTGTGGTGTATTTGCTGGTTCTGTGGCGTGTCACGGTGAAGCCGCGCTCATTGGCTGGCAGCCATTTTATTAACAACATCTGCTGCGTGCGCTCGGTCACCTGCTGCAGCCGTCGTCTAAAACTGTCCAACAATGAGCTTCCTGTTTCTATTTCCATCCTCACACACAGTAACTGGACCAAGACACAACACAGCACAGAGGTGACGTGTCAGTCAAACTCCTGGTCAACAGGAGACCTTCAGTCTGTGGTGATGTCAGCAACGTTAATTAATGTGAAGCTTCAGGCTGTTGGTTAATCACTCTGCCAAAGATTGTTTGTGAGTGAAGACACATCACTCTGGAACATCTCTCTGTGACCTCGATGAGCTGAGTGTTTCTAGTTCCACATTAGGCAGGTTTGTGCAAAATAGAAGAGATTTGTTTTAGAAAGCACAAATAGTGAAAGTTGTGTTTCCACCGAGTGAAGTTTTTCTCCTCACGACATCACTCCAGTTAAATGACAACAGATTTCCAGCATCTGCCTTTGACTGTCTCTCTGGGGCCTGATACGACAGAAAGAGTGTTTCCATGACTCATTTCAAATTGCTCATTAAACAGGTTAATGAAACCTGACTCTTCACGAACTACACGATCCAGAACTCTGAGCTTAACGAGCAGATTGATTAATCTGATGACTCTGATCGTTTCTCTGACGTTCAGACTGAAGCTTCAGGTTATCAGTGGTGATCAGGGCAGCTTCAGTGACTCTTCTACATTGATCCTGTCTCTCTCTCTCTGTCTCTCTCTCTCTCTGTCTCTCTCTCTCTCTCTCTCTCTCTCTCTCTCTCTCTCTCTCTCTCTCTCTCTCTCTCTCTCTCTCTCTCTCTCTCTCTCTCTCTCTCTCTCTCTCTCTCTCTCTCTCTCTCTCTCTCTCTCTCTCTCTCTCTCTCTCTCTCTCTCTCTCTCTCTCTCTCTCTCTCTCTCTCTCTCTCTCTCTCTCTCTCTCTCTCTCTCTCTCTCTCTCTCTCTCTCTCTCTCTCTCTCTCTCTCTCTCTCTCTCTCTCTCTCTCTCTCTCTCTCTCTCTCTCTCTCTCTCTCTCTCTCTCTCTCTCTCTCTCTCTCTCTCTCTCTCTCTCTCTCTCTCTCTCTCTCTCTCTCTCTCTCTCTCTCTCTCTCTCTCTCTCTCTCTCTCTCTCTCTCTCTCTCTCTCTCTCTCTCTCTCTCTCTCTCTCTCTCTCTCTCTCTCTCTCTCTCTCTCTCTCTCTCTCTCTCTCTCTCTCTCTCTCTCTCTCTCTCTCTCTCTCTCTCTCTCTCTCTCTCTCTCTCTCTCTCTCTCTCTCTCTCTCTCTCTCTCTCTCTCTCTCTCTCTCTCTCTCTCTCTCTCTCTCTCTCTCTCTCTCTCTCTCTCTCTCTCTCTCTCTCTCTCTCTCTCTCTCTCTCTCTCTCTCTCTCTCTCTCTCTCTCTCTCTCTCTCTCTCTCTCTCTCTCTCTCTCTCTCTCTCTCTCTCTCTGTCTCTCTCTCTCTGTCTCTCTCTCTCTCTCTCTCTGTAGTTTGCGGTCAGTATCGACAGGGTTGAGGATCTCCAGATCAGACCAGACGACAGACTGACTGAAGTTCAGCTCAGATACGACTCCATGAGGAGAGGTAACAGTGTTCACATGAGTCATGATCAGACTCTGGTTTTAACCCAGTTTAACCCTCACCAGGTTGTCTGGTAATAAACTGGTGAGTTCTGGTGCTGGTTCTGGTTCTGGTTCTGGAGTAGCTTTATGTTGTGAATCAGTGAAACACTTCGCAGGATATAAAAGTCTCTGTCTCTTTATGTTTTCATTGCAGATCTTCTGGGGAAATCTCTGCAGGTTTTAAGCAGCAGCAACGTTCTGCTGCAGAACCTCAGACAGCTGCAGAGAACCGAGGCCCTCCAGAGGAGAGGGGGAGTACTGCAGGATGAGGAGGGGCAGGAGGGGGAGGTGACTGTCAAAGCCTCACTGGGATTAAATGTCGATTAAAAACTGGTCCAATTTCAAATTGAAAGCTTGAACCTGGTTGTTTCTGAATCCACTGGTTTAACTTCTCACCTGCTGCGTCTTCTTCCCAGAGTTCCCAGTGCAGCAGGGGGGCGGCGCTGAGGCTGGAGGAGCTGGTGGAGACGCTGCAGGATCGCAGGAGGAGGGCGGACCAGGCTGTCAGGCTGCAGCTCCAACAGGCGGAGAATGACATCATGGTCCACCAGCAAGAACCACAGTCCAGACTCGGCTCTGAAGTAAGAGACTGGTACTGAGACAGATCCAGTTCTTCATGGAGACTCGGTTATTAGAACCACAGATACAGTTCTAGCTGATGGGACTTCAGCTTCAGTTAATCATTGTTTCAACCATCTACAGATTTCAAAATAAGAGCGCACAAGATCACTATATCCATAGTTAACAGATCATATATATAATGATAACAACATGATGGATGGATGACTGATGGATGAATAGATGAATGGATGAATGGATGGATGGATGGATGGATGAATAAATGAATGACTGATGGATGATATTAGAGGAGGGTAACTCAGTCCTCAGTCTGTTCTGGTCTCAGGTTTTAAATAAATCCTCCTTCAGTTTCAGTCTCTGAATTTAAAAATATTCAGTCGACTGAAAACGAAACGAGACCTTGTTGAGTCAAGGATCCTAAAATCCAGTTCATGATCCTGAACAGGTTTTCCCAAAACCACCAGAACCCAAAACGCTCTCCACTCTCTCTTCACCACAGGACTGGACTCTCACAGTTTACAAACTCCTGGCCCAGGACATTCAGTCTGAATCCACCTCAGCACAGACCACAGACCTTCAGTCTGGATCCAGATCAGATCTTGGTCCTGAGTCCAAGTCAGATCTGAAGTCAGGATCCAATTTAGATGTGAAGCTCGGACTGAGATCACAGAAAACCAGAGACCTTCAGCCTGGATCCAGAGAAGATATAAGGCCTGGATCTGGATCAGAGACCAGAAACTTAGAGTTAGGAGTAAGAACAGATCTAAAGCCTGAATCCGGATTGGATCTGAAGCCTGGAATCAAATCAGATGTGAAGCTTGGATCTAGATCGCATCGAACCAGAGATGTGGACCCTGAATTTAGGTCAGAAGAGACCAGAAACTCCAGATCACAATCCAGACCAGATCTGAAGCTGGACTTCTTACTGGAGGGAAACAGAGACCTGCAGCCTGGATCCAAATCAGACATTCAGTCTGGATCCAGGTCAGATCTGCTGCCTGGATCTAGACCAGAGGAGACCAGAGACATCCAGCCAGCATCCAAACCGGATGTAAAGTCTGAATCCAGATCAGATCTGAAGCCTAGATCTAGATCAGAGGAAAACAAAGACCTGCAGCCAGAATCAACATCTGATGTCAAGTCTGAACCTAGATCAGAAACCAGAAACCTCCCGCTAGGATCCAAATCAGATGTAAAGTCTGAATCCAGATCAGATCTGAAGCCTAGATCTAGATCAGAGGAAATCAGAGACCTGCGGTCTGGATTTAGATTAAACTTGAAGGTGGGATCCACATCAGACCTGAAGTCAGATTCCAATTCAGAGGAGACCAGAGACCTCCAGCCAGCATCCAAACCAGATGTAAAGCCTGAATCTAAATTTGATCTGAAGCCTAGATCTAGATCAGAGGAAAACAAAGACCTGCAGCCAGAATCCAGATCAGAGAAGACTGTGGAGCTCCAGTTAGGATCCAGATCAGATGTAAAGCGTGAATCCAGGTCAGATCTGAAACCTGGATCTAACTCAGAAAAGACCAGAAACCTGCAGCCTGGATCTAGGGCAGACCTGGAGTCAGATTCCACATCAGAGGAGACCAGATCCAGATTAGATCTGAAGACTGGATCCAGATCAGAGGAGACCAGAAACCCAGGAGCCAAGAGTCAAAGTCCAGAAGACCACGCCCACCAGGCATTTCTGACCAATCAGAAGCAAGAGCTGATGTCGTCATGTGAACACCTCGTGGACAAGGTGACACTTTCTTCTTAAGTTGATGTGACAGCATGAAAGAGGCTGCTACTTCATGTAACTATTGAAATGTGTGTGTGTGTGTGTGTGTGTGTGTGTGTGTGTGTGTGTGTGTGTTGCAGGTGTGGAGCTGGGTGCAGCAGGGCAGCAGTGTGTTGTCTAACAGCTCTGAAGCAGGACGTCAGCTCCATGAAGCCGAGGACACTCTGAACACACACCTGCAGCTGCACACACAGGCTGAGGTACACACACACACACACACACACACACACACACACACACACACACACACACACACACACACACACACACACACACATTAAGATGGATCCAGGCTGGAGGAGGATGTTGGTCATTCTTCCTGTCTCCAGTCTGCAGGTCACGATGCAGAGAACCTGAAGCAGATCCTGGATCAGATCCAGGCTCAGACCAGCAGAACCAGTCCGCAGCGTCCCAGTGAGCCCAGCAAACAACTGTCCCCCCTGAAGGCCCTGACAGAGCAGCTGAAGAGAGGCGGCTCGGGAAGAGACCAGACCAGAGCCGGCGCCGCTCGGCCCGGTCCACCTGCCGCTGGGTCACCGAGTCCTGAACTGGCAGTTCGAGTGGATCTGGTCCTGAAGGAGCTGCAGAGTCTGAACAGGAAGATCGACTCAAACCTGCAGCTGCTGAAACCCTACGTCTCATTCCTCCACACAGTACAACAGGTCAGAGGCTCTCAGGTCGGTTCAGCACCAACTAACGGGCTGAAAACAGTAAAAAAAAGTGAAAAAGTATGAAAACATTACAAGTCCTGCATTCAACATTTTATTAAGAGTCCAGTATAAAGTATCATCATCCAAATACTCTGAAGAGTCACGGAAGTGTGGAAATACATTAAAATATAAGATTAAGATGACGTTAAAGCATCTAAAAACAATAACAACTAATTGGAATAAATAAATGTATAAAGAAGTTGTCAAAATAAGTGCTGCTGTGATAAAAGACAATCAAACAAGCAAATGCAAACATGACACAAGATTTAAAAGATGTGACATTTGTGATTTATTGGTAAGATGCAGCAAAACGTTTTAATCTTGAAGATGAAGGGACCTGGGCTGTCAGCTGATGGTGCTCCTGTTTTCCAGGTGGAGGAAGAGATGGAGGAACTAAGGGAGATCTACAGGAGGAGACCAGAGGAGGAGGAGGAGGAGCAGGAGGAGGAGAGGGAAGCTGGTCGCAGTAACAACAGGATTACCAGCAGCTCCAGGTCACCACCGAAGAAGAAGCAGGTCCAGACATGCTGGGAGGAAACGCTGCAGAGACTCGTCACTGCTCAGGAACTGGGAAACAACTACGTCCATACTGTTACCATGGTAACCAGAATGCCAGAAGTCAGGGTTAACATTGAATTGTTGGTCACATCGGATCAGACCAGGTGGTGTGATGAGATCATAGGACAAGAAATGACATCACCTGTGTGTGTGTGCGTGTGTGTGTGCGTGTGTGTGTGTGTGTGTGTGTGTGATGTCAGGTGTCAGGGGCGGGGTTAGACCTGCAGTCTGTGGTCTCGGTGGTCCAGCGGTCCATGGAGAAACTCAACAGAACCAAACAGGAAGTGAACAAGCTGCGGAGTCACCATGACAACCAGGTGCAGCAGCATCAGCAGCTGGAGTCCTGCAGGACGTTCAGACACCGACTGCTGAAGGTCAGAACTACACTGTGTGAACGTGGTACTGGTGGAGGTCTCTCATACTGGGACGTGACCAGTAACTACAGCTGTGAAGTTAATTAAAGAGATGAATCTAAAATACAGATACTCAGCTGAAGTACAAGTACCTCAGATCTGTACTTAAATACAGGTGTTGGGTTCTTCCACCACTGGACTGTGTGTTGATGTGTGTTTTCAGACCCTGCAGGACTTGAAGTCTGTTTCTGAGCTGCTGGACTCCTGTTCTCTGTTGGATCTGGGTTCAGACCTGCAGACCTCCAAGCTGCTGGAGCACTTCAGCCAGGCCAGACCACATTTCATGGTGAGTGTTCAACGTTTGGACTGTGGACTTTGATTATTGGGACTTATTGACACTCATGGGACTATTGGGACTTTTAGACTGTGGTGACTGTTGGGACTGGAGCTGCTGAGACCACCAGGACCTTTGGATCATTGGCACTGGTAAGATGTCCAGGACTTGTGGGACTCCTTGGTGTGTTTTTACTGTTGGGAAAACAGGGACTACTGGGACCATTTTGACTTTTGGACTGAGGCCTTTGGGCAGGTTTGACTTTGGTTCCTTTGGATTGCTAGGACTTCTGGGACTTTTGGGACCAGTGGGTCCTTTGGACTGCAGGGATTACCGGTAGTGCACCATTGGGACTCCTGGGCCTCCTTTGACTGTTAGAACCACTGGAACTTTTGGACTGTTGGGGACTACTGGGAGAGCTAGAACCTCCCGGGACTGTAACAGTCAGGACCATTGGGTCTTTTGAACAATGGGGACTGTGAGGACACTGGGACCCCTGGGACTTTTATATTGCGGGGATCTTTTGGAGAACTGGTTCTTCTGGACTCCTTGGTCTACTTGTAGGGGAGACCGGTGGTGCTGCGACAGTTGGGACCACTGGGACTTTTATGAGTCTCTTGTTCCCTCGATGTATCTTTAGGACTTTTCTTCCTAAATGTTAAACTCTCTTCTTTTGTCCAGCAACTGGATGCTGAGGTGGATCACATGATGAAGAGCTGGGAGACTCTGAGAGGAGTCCAGGACGGGCTGGAGGTGAAGGGAGGAGCAGTGACGGAGGAGGACCTGTCAGAGCTGCTGAACCTCCAGAAGAGAGTGAAGGACAAGATCCAGCAGAGCGAGTCCATCCTGGACGTGACCAGCAGCTTCCACCTCACAGTGAGACGGGTCAGTGTCCTCTGGCGTCTCAGAGCAAAACCTGTTGATGTACATGAAGCAGGACATGTCATGTTGTGTTCTGTGTGTCCAGCTGGAGGCGCTGCTGCACTCAGACCCTGCAGACCCTTCAA